CTAACAGCTGGTAAGCTGGCTGGGATTTCTGGGAGTTGAAGTCCAAAACACCTGGAGGCCCCAGGGTTGGGAACCTCTGATCTAGAAGGACCACACAGAAACACGGAAAGTACATTTTCATTTTTTTTTAAAGCTGGGCAAAAAAAGTATATCACCATAGTCCCTGAATAATCTCAAAAGTAGACATAGCATATGCTTATAACTCAAACTCACTTTCACGTCTTTTAAGAAAAGTGCCCTGTTTCTCAGAGTGGGCAATTAATCTATGGGAAGCCTACAAGCCAGACATAGAGCCACTGAGCCTGACCTGGCATTTACAAGCATGCTACTTCTGAACTACCACACAGCCAACACAATAGTAGTCGCCACTTTGCCACTGTAAGAGCCGCATTACAGATGCATTTCTATACAATGTGCCACCCAGATCCATGAGATACAGATCTTCAATTTCAAGCAACTGCAGATCATTGTGCCATATTAGTAAGTGGCTGCAACATGAACACAGACATGCTGAAGCGTGCAGATTCACATAGTCGCCTTTTAATAATATGGGGTGTGAGCATCCTTTTTCGTATCCATGGCTGAACCCGGAACCAAATTTCCATGTATATTACATGCTTGCTGTATTGTGATATGCATATAGCACAGTTTCAGGGCTACATGCCAGCAACTGCCAGGACAATTTTTGGATATATGCCTGTTGTTTACATTTCGTGTGCCTACTAAAAGGGTAGGGGAGGAACACTGGAAAGCCAGATATTAACCTTGCCTAGACTTAGGACACATCTACACTGACCACTCAAGTCAGTTTCAAACCAGTATTGAAGAAAATGTTTTCATTTTGTAGATGATCACACAGGAAATCCTGGAATCAATTTAAGACCCAGCTGGTGATTACACAAACCACAGAGGCACATTAAGGGCTTTCTTCCACACACTTTTGAAGATGGGAGCTTGTTGTCTAGTCACCACATTTTGGGGTTAGCTTTGAACATCATTAAATGGTCAGTGTAGATGGAGTCTAGGAAACAGCCTTAATTTCATTCATTCAACCAACACTGATACATCCTACTGAAATACTGAACATCATTGAGAAGGGTCAGTGTTTACAATATTTGACTGCAACACCCATGAGCTGTAACCAGCACAGCCAATGCAAGGGATTATGGAGGACAAGAAATCGTGCCGATGAGAAGTTGCTCCTCATTAGTGCTAAGACCTATTATAACAAATAGATATAGTAGAGGAGGGGTGTCATATCAAGCACAGGCTCTCTGTCTCCCCATTCCTAGTAGAGTCTCATTTATCCAACCTTTGCTCATCCAAGTTCTGCATTATCCAGCACAGTCTACCTCCCACTCAGATCCACAGCTGTTTCAATACATTGTGATATTTTGGTGCTAAATTCATAAATACAGTAATTACTACATAATGTTACTGTATAGTGAACTGTTTTTTCTGTTGATATGTTGTAAAACATGATGTTTAGGTGCTTAATTTGTAAAATTATAATGTAATTTGACATTTAATAGGCTTTTCCTTAATCCCTCCTTATTATCCAACATTTTTGCTTATCCAATGTTCTGCCAGCCTCTACTGACGTTCTGCAAGACTCTACTGTATGTCTATTTGCATTTTTATCATGCATACTAAATGCAAAAATTTGGTTTAATTTAGCCCTGGCCAATTCCAACATAGCAACCTAGAAGCTCTAGCAATTGCACAGATCATTACCTATAATGGCTGGGAAGGAAAATAAAATTCCCAGGATTTCATCTGTCAGCACTTTGATATCAGCAACATCCCCACTCAGCTGTTGTAACAGTGATACAATCCATTTCCCTTTGTTGCCCATTTGAAGGAAGAAAATTGCCCACCCTGCTTTTCTTTCTTTCTTTTTTCTGGCTGCCCCCCCCCCCCCATTTTTACACATGACATGGGAAGATACTTCAAGGTGTTCTTTGTTTGACACATGTGTGTGTGTGTGTGTATCTTCAAGCTGCCTGTCAACTTATGACGACCTGCTGAATTTTATGGTGGTTTTTAAGGAAAGGGTTTTGCAAGTTAATTCTTCTGCCATAGGAAAAAATTATAACACAGACTAAGATGTATTAGTAATAAAGAAACAATCAAGTGTACTTTCTAACCAGTGTATTATCTATATTATGTATACAATCAGCCTCCCACATTCTCTTGAGTTAGGGTTCAAGGGCCCCTGTTCAAGTGAAAAACCATTTATAAAAACACTATTTTTAAAATCTGAGAGAATACCTCTCTAGGAATTTCTAGGTCTTCTAGCATGAAAACCCATTGAACAAATCATAAGCATTCAGTCTCAGGAAATCCCATGGCAGGGTTGCTTTGGGGCACGCATTGGCAAACTTTGGCTCTCCAGGTGTTTTGGGCTTCAATTCCCACAATTCTTAACAGCCTACTGGCTGCCTGCCTTAGGGTCACCATAAACTGGAAACACCTTTAAGACACACAATGAATTCTTGTAAAATTTGAACAGTGACAAAGTTGGGGGGGGGGGGGAACCACTTCTTATGAAATGCAGTGCTGGAGGCATATTCTTTGGATCTCGTTGAAACTTAAGCCTGACCTCTCCCTAGAAGTCAAACTGACTCAGCTGAGGTTACTGTACCTTGGACCTATTCTGAGATAACAGATAGGAAAAAGTGATAATGGTTACACCACCCAACCAAAAAAAAAAATTCTTGATGTCCTGATTTTCAGACCTGCTCCTGGGGTTACTTGGGGTGCTTGTTCAGAGAATTGCATTCAATAGACTGCATCAGTTCTAGTTTCTTAGATATGGCTATCATGGTTTTCTTTGGGTGAGCAGATGGCAACTGGTAGATGGCATATGTTCTGTATCTCAAAAACTAGAACTACTGTGGGAAAAACAGTGCCATTTTTGGAATCAGCCAGTCAAATACACCCAGAAACAGGTCTAACATTTGATGCACCAAAATGTGTGTTGGCCACTGAAATGGAAGTTCATAGTAAACAAGGAAGATCATGGATACACTGATACTGTGGAACAGGAATGGACTAACTTGGGCCATCCAGGTGTTTTGGACTTCAACTCCCATAATTCCTAACAGCCGGAATTATCAGAGTTGGAATCCAAAACACCTGGAGAGCCCAAGTTTGTGCATGCCTAATGTAGAAACAATGCAGTTTGGCACCACTTTAAGTGTGATGACTCAATGCTATAGAATAATGGAATTTGTTGCTATAGTGCTCTTTGGCAGAGAAGGTTAAATACCTCATAATACTACAATTCCCATGATTCCATAGCATTGAGTCATGGGAGTTAGAGCAAGATCAAGCTGCATTAATTCCATGGTGTCGATCGGGAATGGGCAGTCCAGTTGTTTTGGGCTCCAACTCCCACAATACTGGCTGTTAGGAATTGTGGGAGTTGAAGTTCAAAACACCTAGAGGGCCAAAGATGTTTTGAATTGACACTACAGAATTGCCCATGCCTATTCTATAGTGACAATGTACCCACGATTTTATTTACTATGAACTTCCGCTTCACTGACCAACACACATCTTGTTGCCTCAAATGTTCTGGGTATATTTGACTGGCTGATTCCCAAAATGGCACTGGCTTTCCCACAAAAGCTCTAGTTTTTGAGATACAGAGTTGGGGTCCAAAACACCTGAAGGGCCAAAGTTTGCCCGTGCCTGGTGGACATGGAGTTGGAAAAGTCCACAAGGGCCATCCAGCCCAATCCTTATTTATTTATTTATCATTTACAACATTTCTACCCCACCCTTCTCAACCCCCAAGGGGGGACTCAGAGTGGCTAACACTGGTAACAATTCAATGCCGCAATATAAATAACAATATAAAACCAATATAAATAACAATATAAAACCATAAATACACAATAGATTAAAAACAATAACATTACTTATACTGTCATATGGCCGTTTCCATTATCATAACAATCATATGGTCCAGTGCAATGTCCAAAGTGCCATTGTGTCTGCTAGTCAAAAGCCTGGTTCCAAAACCACGATTTCAGTTTTTCCTAAAGAAAAGGAGGGAGGACCCCGATCTAATCTCGCTGGGGAGTGAATTCCACAAGTGGGGGTCACCACTGAAAAGGCCCTGTCCCTCGTTCCCACCAGACGCATTTGCGAGGCCGGTGGGACCGAGAGAAGGCCTCCCCAGTGGATCTTAAATTATGAGGCGAAACGTAAACGGAGATACATTGGGACAAGTAAGCTGGGCCGGAGCCGTATAGGGCTTTATAGGCCAAGACTTTGAATTGTGCTTGGAAGTGGACCGGCAGCCAGTGGTGCTGACATAGCAGGGGGGTGGTATGCTCCCTGTATGGTGCTCCAGTGAACAATCTGGCTGCCACCCATTGGACTAGTTGAAGTTTCCGAACAGTCTTCAAAGGCAAGCCCACGTAGAGTCCATTGCAGTAATCTATTTGGCATGTAACCAGAGCATGGACCACTGTGGCCAAAATGGCACTGATTTTCCCACAAAAGCTCTAGTTTTTGAGATACAGAGTTGGAGTCCAAAACACCTGGAGGGCCGAAGTTTGCCCATGCCTGATGTAGATGCACCTCATAGGAACATGGAGTTGGAAGAGACCACCAGGGCCACCCAGCCCAGCCCTCATCATGTTAGAAATGGATTGGCTCAATGAAGGAAGCCAGCCCTGAAGGGATGCCTTGAGCTCCTGGAAATCTCTCCTTGGTGGTCCTACACCTTGACAGCCCAGGACTACTAGAGTTGAGGGCCCGGCATGAGGGCGAGCGTGGCCTTCTCCCGGGCAGGGGGAAGCCCCCCACCCTGCCAGCCCCTGCAGGGGTCCCTCATCAGATCACCCACACCTCTCTGGAAGTAATCCCCGCGAGCCCGTGATTACCAGCACCTGATTCTGCCCTCCAAGCCCTAAAGCGGCTTAGGGTTACCACTTCAGGCATCAACAGGCACCGCAGAGTCCTCAAGCGGCATCCCGGGGGCTTACCGGAGGACGGCCGGTGGGGCAAACAGCATCCTATCTGCGCCCGTGGCTTTCGGTGGAGCAACTCCCAAGGAGGCTGGCCTGGGGCTTCCAGGGCTCAGCCTGGCTCGCAATGAAGGCCGCCCCGCAGATGAGCAGCCATGGGGGGGCAAGCAGGAGCGCGGGCCGCCCGGTTCCCTTCCCCACCGCCAGCCAGGGGCCTTCCAGGCTCGTCTCCGGCCTCTCGCCCATCATGGAAGCGCTACAGCCGCGAATGCAGACGCTCCAATGCGACACCGGGGCCCCAGGCAGCTCGGATGCCGCAGAGCCTCCCTCCTTCCCTTCCCAGCCCTTTCCTTTTGGCCACTGCAGCTGCGGCTTCCTCTCCCCCCCCCCCCCCCCCCCCACCACAGAAATATCCACCCCCTTCCCATTCCTGTCAATCACCCACTCACACGCAGATTTGACCCGCTTCCATCCCGCTCCTCGCACCTGCTTCAGCTGCCCTGGGGCGCCACAGCCCCGCCGCGAAGAGTCACGCCGCTCGGTCTACCTTTTCTTTTTTCCCCTTCTCTCTCTCTCTTTTTCTCTCTCCTCTTAAAGGCAAGGATCGCGCGCGATTTCGCGTCCTCCGACACAAAAAAAGGGAAGGCAAGAGGGGCTGGCACTTTGGCAGTCAGTGACCTCCTCCTTCCTGTATTTATCCTGGAGGAGGGCGGGAGGAAGAGGAAGGCACGGCCAGGCAGGAGCAAGGAAGTCCTCCAAGGCTGGAGAAGGAAGACCTCTCACAGGGCCAAGGGGGAAAAGAGTCATCCTTAGGATTGTTACAATCCCAGAGTTGGAAGAGACCTCGTGGGCCATCCAGTCCGACTCCCTGCCAAGAAGCAGGAAAACCCCATTCAAAGCACTCCCAGAATATGATGACCACCAGGATTGTTTGTTTGTTTCTTACCCTTGGATTGAGGCAAGGATCAACAACACATTAAAATGCAGCCTCTACAATCAGCTGAAAGCACAGCGCTCGGTGAAAACATCAGTGTAAATTAATACTTACTTACTTACTTACTTACTTACTTAGGCGATCCCTCGTTGGACAAGTAAGATGGTCTTCCTTGAAGACTATTTTTGTGGGTTTGTAGGTGGCTGTGGAGCCCTATTCTTATGTAAATTAATACATATACTCAGCACATATTAAAGCCGCCTGTAGATAATCAATACACATGCATCTATGTATGATATGTACAATATATTCAAACAGGCAGTGCATAATGTAAGAATCTTAACTTAAAATTCGTAATGAAAAACAATCATCGGGACAGGCCTGCAGGAAGAGACAGGTCTGTGTGACTGTTTTGAATTCGGACATCATCGTCCACGGTCATAGCTCTTTTGGCAAGTCATTCCACAATCTAAGCAGATGCCAACCTAAGCTACATCTATACCAGCGTTCCTAATGCCATGACAACTTAATACAGTTCCTCATCTTGTGACTCCCAGCCATAATATTATTTTTGTTGCTACTTCATAACTGTGCTACTGTTATGAATCGTAATGTAAATATCTGATATGCAGGATGTATTTTCATTCACTGGATCAAATCTGGCACAAATACCCAATACGCCCAAATCTGAATACTGGTGCAGTTGGAGTGGAAATTGATAATGTCATTTGGGAGTTGTAGTTGCTGGGATTTATAGTTCACCTACAATCAAAGAGCATTCTGAGCTCTACCAACAATGGAACTGAACCAAACTTGGCACACAGAACTCCCATGACCAACAGAAAATACTGGAAGGGTTTGGTGGGCATTGACCTTGAGTTTTGAAGTTGTAGTTGATCTACATCCAGAGAGCGCTGTGGACTCAAACAATGATGGATCTGGACCACACTTGGCACAGATACTCAATATGCCCAAATGTGAACACTGGTGGACTTCGCGGAAAATAGACTTGACATTTGGGAGTTGTAGGTGCTGGGATTTATCAAAGAGCATTCTGAACTCCACCAATGATAGAACTGGGCCAAACTTCCCACACAGAACCTCCATGACTAACAGAAAATGCTGTCCTTTCTGATGGTCCTTGGCGACCCTCTGACACCCCCTCGCAACCCCTCCAGGGGTCCCGACCTCCAGGTTGAGAAATGCCAATGTATACTATAGGACAGGCATAGTATAGATGTAGCTTGTGAGAGTTGGAGACTCCAACTCCCACAATTCCTAACAGCCTCATGCCCTCTCCTTTTCCTCCTCAGCTGCTTAAGCTTCTGCATATCACAAGAATGGAGAAAAATCCCTCTCAGAGGTACAGGAAGAAAGGGTCTGCATGGACTCCCCTTGAACATGGATGTCTAACCTGAGAGAATTGGCGAGAGAGGCAAAGCTTACTACACAAGCTTATCTATATGAATTGTGGTGCTATCCACAGCAACTAAGCCATTCCAAAATCATCATTAAAGAAGCGGATGGGAATACCTTGCTAGAAACCTCAAGATTGGACTTCTGCAATGAGCTGTACATTGGGCTATCTTTGTACCAAGATTGGAAAATCAGTTCAAAACATGGCAGCCAGATTGGTTATGGGAACATCTAGGAATGAACCTATTATACCCATATTATATTCACACCAGGGGCCGAGGTGGGGTACCAGGTTAAACCGCTAAGCTGCAGAATTTGCTCATTGGAAGGTCGGCAGTTCAAATCCTAATGACAGGGTGAGCTCCCATTTCTAGCCCCAGCTTCTGCCAACCTATCAGTTCAAAAACATGCAAATGTGAGTAGATCAATAGGTACTGCTCTGACAGGAAGGTAATGGCAGTCATGCCAGCCACATGACCTAGGAGTCTACAGACAATGATAACTCTTCGGGTTAGAAATGGAGATGAGCACCACCCCCCAGAGTTGGACATGACTGGACTGTCAAAAGGAAACCTATACCTTTTATATTCACTCCATGGTTGCCAGTTAGTTTCCAGGCAAAGTGTTGGTTTGGACCTTTAAAGCCCTACATGGTTTCGGTCTAAGTTACCTTCAGGATCACCTTCTCCTGTACAATCTGCCCCTTTGGACACCTGAGTCTTCAGAAGGGTATTTACTCCAACCAGGCAGAACCCAACTGGCAATCATCACCCAGAGGACCTTTCCATCGGACGCCCAGAGAAGACCTGGTGGAAGAGATTTGACAGCTAAATCAGCTGTTGGACATTAAGCCACAACTGAAGACCTATCTCTTTCAGCAGGTCAATTGTGTATTTTAACCTGCATTTTATTGATGTTACTCTTGTGTATATTTTGGTATATGCATTTGAACAATGTTATGTTTTATCTGATGCAAAGAGAGGCAGGCAACAAACTAGTTGGCCAAGTACAAATTGCCCAACCCCACATCTTACTAATCCCTGTTCTTAGAATCCATAAAGAATATGAGAAACAATGACGCTAAATGATGAAAGACTTCCTGCATTGTACTTTTTATCAGTGTTATCACTGTGGGTGGATATTTACAAAGATAGTTGTAGTGCTTGGAGGTTTTATGAGAGTATTATAGATCCACATGCATTGAACCCTATCACCTTTAAATGGGAGGTGTTGCTTGCTTTGTGTTGGTGTCCAAATTTTCAGCTAGAATCAAATACCTAGAGTAACAGACTACAGGGAGGAGACCATGGTTCCAAATGCTTCCTCAAATCCAGAGAGAACCTGGAAGTTATTTTTTTAAAGTACTCCATTCTGTTACTTCTTACAATATTTCAAAACAGCTCATTGTTTTCACTTCTTAACAATGATGAAAACAAGCAACTTGTTGCATTCTTTCTTGGACTGCTTGTCACTTTGCTTTCTGTTACTATATTGAGGGGTGAAAAATATGTTGCAGTAAGCTTTCAATGTTTCATGCCCGTCACTTATCTGTCTTATTGTTTTAGCCCTCAAAAAAAGGAAAAGTTACAAGCAGTGCAAATAACTATAAGCCATGACTTGTTACATCCCTTACTTAAAAAGTTGTTTTGGTATTATTTTTTCTGTCCTATGTTTTATCCCTCAAAAAAGAACAGAAAGCAAAGGAAACGTAACAAGTAGTGTGTGTACTATTTTTTTGTAGTTGTGTCAGGAGCAACTTGAGAAACTATAAGCCATTACCAATAATACTCATGGGGGGGGGGGAGGAGAGGTTGCAAACTTGCCATCCAAAGTATTAGATAATTATATTACTTTCAGTTCATTGCTTCCAACCTCTGGATCCAGGGCAAAGGTAATGTCATTTCAGTTTAAATTTCTAGCCGTGTCTGCAATTTCTAATAGTGTTGCAAAAATGGAACAGAGGTCACGGGGAATGGAAAGAAGGAATGGGATGGAATGCACAACCATGACGAATCTTGCACCTATACACAGCTCCTCCCAAAGAAATGTGCTGGTCTGCTATATAAATCCCTATCTTAGCTCCTGTTTTGAATCTCTGAACATGTGGACAGGTCTTGTAAATTGCTTAGATAAATGTGCAGTGACTTTGGAAAGGAAGAAGAAGAAGAGGAAGAATCATAGAGTTGGAAGAGACCTCATGGGCAATCCAATCTAACCCCCTGCAAAGAAGCAGGAAAATTGCATTCAAAGCACCCCCGAGAGATGGCCACAGCCTCTGTTTAAAAGCTTCCAAAGAAGGAGCCTCTACCACACTCGGGGGCAGAGGGTTCCACTGCTGAACAACTCTCACTGTCTGGAAGTTCTTCCTAATGTTCAGATGGAATCTCCTTTCTTGTAGTTTGAAGCCATTGTTCTGCGTGCTAGTCTCCAGGGCAGCAGAAAACAAGTTTGCTCCCTCATCCCTATGACTCCCTCTCACATATTTATACATGGCTATCATGTCTCCTCTCATCCTTCTCTTCTTCAGGCTAAACATTCCCATCTCTTTAAGCCGCTCCTCATAGGGCTTGTTCTCCAGACCCTTGATCATCTTAGTCACCCTCCTCTGGACACATTCCAGCTTGTCAACATCTCTCTTCAATTGTAGTGCCCAGAATTGGACACAATATTCCAGGTGTGGTCTAACCATGGCAGAATAGAGGGGAAGCATGACTTCCCTGGATCTAGACACTATACTCCTATTGATGCAGGCCAAAATCCCGTTAACTTTTTTGCCGCCACATCACACTGTTAGAGTCCATGAGGACTCTAAGATCTTTTTCACATGTACTGCTCTCAAGCCACATGTCCCCCATTCTGTGGAGGAGGAAGAAGAAGAGAGGAAGAAAAGAAAAGTAGAAGAAGAGGAGGAGCAGCAGCAGGAGGAGGAGGACGAGGAAGAAGAAGAAGAAAATGATATCCTGCATTGATATTTTGTT